TTCATTTAACACACAAAACCCCAAATCAGAATTTTCCAAGCAGGAAGAGCTGCAGGTGAGAGGGAATTTGGGACTCAGTGTTGGATATTAAGTGTCCTTCCTTTTGTTCTGCCTCACCTATGGAATTTTCACCTATGGTGGCAGGGAAAATCTGACTGCTGGTACTTGTTGGGTGCTTTTGAAACACAAAGAGTTCGGCTGGGCCCAGGGGGAAGGGGGACAGGAAAAAGAGATGGTGGACAATGGGCTGGCTGCTTTCTGCAGCTTCAGAGCAGAACTCTTGCTGGGAGCTGTTGCAGTGGGGAGAAGGGAATTTCACCATCACCCAGACGGAGCTGCTGCTTCTTCTCCTTCTTCCCTCTTTGTTGGTGGCCTCACACCCCCTGTCCTGCCGGGACGTGTGGCAGTGCCAGGCACCGCCGTGGAGCTGCTGATACACCTCCGACACGGGCCCGGGATCTCAGCTCATCCCTGCTGTTCCACCTCAGCCACTGTCCCGGGATCTCAGCTCATCCCTGCTGTTCCACCTCATCCACTGCCCCAGGATCTCAGCTCATCCCTGCTGATCCACCTCAGCTCATCCCTACTGTTCCACCTCAGCCACGGGCCCAGGATCTCAGCTCATCCCTGCTGTTCCTCAGAGCCCCACAGGAGCACCGGGACTGCCCGCCCCGGGGGGTTTGTGAAACAAAGCCTCTCCTCCATCCCTTCCCATCTCAGCCAAGAAAGCTGTCACCAGGCCCCTGGTTCTGTTTTGTTGACTGATAAAGAACTGTTATTCCTGTCCCCAAATCTCTGCCTGAGAGCCCCTTGATTTCAAAATTATAGTAATTCAGAGGGAGAGGGTCTACATGTTTGTTCAAAGGGGGGCTCCTGCCCTCCCGAGCAAACACCTGTATTCCAAATCAAAGGGAATTGGAATGTCTGGGGATGGGATCAGATGTCAGGCAGCTCTCAAATAACCCTGGCTCTGAGCTGTCACATGCCAGGACACACACTGATGTCACTATCAGCAGGTGCCACTCACTTCAACACGTCCAGAGTGAAAGGACAAGGGCTGGAAAAGCACAAGGAAGCACAAAACCTTTGTGAAACGCGTGTTTAGGGCAAAGCATTTCATGGTGAAGCTGCTTCAGGTGCTCTCCCTCTCACACAGGATCTTCACCACATTAATTAGTGCAGATGGGCAATTAATAGCGGAGTTAATGTCAACGGATCAGCAAAGCAGGGAAAGGGTGGTCAGGGTGGGGAATCCACAAGGAAATCACTTCCTGGAGGTTTTGGAGGAGCAGGAGGTTCCCTCCATCTCAAGATGCCTCACAGAGGATCCTCACCACACTCACCACAAGTTAATTAGTGCAGATACAATTAATATGAGAGTTAGTGTGACATGGATGAGCAAAGCAGGGACAAAATGTGGTGAGGGTGTGGGATCCAAGGAAATCACTTTCTGGAAGTCCTGGTGGAGGAGGAGGTGTCTCCATCTCAAGGGGCCTTACCACACACAACTTAATTAGTGCAGATGCAATTAACAGCAGAGTTAATGTCAGTGGATCAACAAAGAGCATGGAATCCACAAGGAAATAATTTCCTGGAGGTTTTGGAGGAGCACGAGGTGTCTCCATCTTGAGATGCCTCACAGAGGATCCTCACCACAACTTAATTAGTGCAGATGGGGGTAATTAGTAGCAGAATTAATGTCAATGGATCAGCCAAGCAGGGACAAAAATTGGTCAGGCTGGGGTATCCAAGGATATCCCAGCCTGGAGAGTGTTGGAGCAGGAGGTGTCTCCATCCTGAGGACCCCCACCACACTCACCACAACTTCATTAGTGCAGATGCAACCAAGAGCAGAGCTAATGTCAGTGGATGAGCAAAGCAGGGACCAAGGGTGTGGGATGCAAGGAAATCT